AGCCAGGATGGTCTCGATCTCCTGACCTCGTGATCCGCCCGCCTCAGCCTCCCAAAGTGCTGGGATTACAGGCTTGAGCCACCGCGCCCGGCCAGCTCACTGAACTTCTGCCTCCTGGGTTCAAGTGTTTCTCCTGCCTCAGCCTCCTGAGTAGCTGGGATTACAAGTGTGTGCTACCAAAACCAGCTAAGTTTTTAGATTTTTGGTAGAGATGGGGTTTCACCATGTTGGCCAGGCTGGTCTGGAACTCCTGACCTTGTGATCCACCCGCCTTGGCCTCCTAAAGTGCTGGGATTACAGGCGTGAGCCACCGCACCGGGCCTGGTAATTTATAACCCAAACGTACCACACAAACACACAAGCAAAACAAATGGTCTGTAAGCATAAAAAAAAAGTTGTAACTCACTAGTAATCAAAAATGTAAAATTAGAGTAACAGAACACAATTTTAACCTATACAAACAGCAAAGCCTAAAATAAACAAAATTGTGATTTTGTAGCTAGCCAGAGGGTGGCAAGAATGGCATTGACAAAAACTGCTGATAGGAGAATAAACAGCTACTTGGGCTGGTTCCTCTGTGTTGAGAAGAGAACTTTAACCTGACTTTTGCTCGTCTGACAGAGTGAAGAGGATGTCTTCACAGCAACACAGAGAATGTCCCTTCCAAACTCCCAACTGCGAATACTACCTTGCACTCTTGGAATCCCGTCCTCATCAATAAGGCAATGGGAGAAATCATAAACATAAATCCCTGATAGAAGAACAAAGGCTCCATCTCTCTGTGTCTCCAGACATTTCATTTTACTCTGAAGGGAAACCAGGCCACTTCGGAGCTAAGTAGTCAGAAAGCACCGTTTCATTCTCTTGAAGCCTGCCTTTACAAAATTGCCCTTTGATGGGGTATATTTGGCTTGCCCTGAGAAACATGGTACGAAATTGCCCTAGTAACTTTCCTGCTCTATTTGTTAATGAGATGGAGTTGAGAATGTCACCCATCACATCATGTGGCGTGTCCTCTTTAAGAGATCTCAGGATTGGCCGGGTGCGGTGGCTCACGCCTGTAATCCCAGCACTCTGGGAGGCCGAGGCGGGTGGATCACGAGGTCAAGAGATCGCGATCATCCTGGCCAACATGGTGAAACCTTGTCTCTATTAAAAATATAAAAATTAGCTGGGCATGGTGGTGGGCGCCTGTAGTCCCAGCTACTTGGGAGGCTGAGGCGGGAGAATTGCTTGAACCTGGGAGGTGGAAGTTGCAGTGAGCTGAGATCATGCCATTGCACTCCAGCCTGGGCAATAGAGCGAGACGCCATCTCAAAAAAAAAAAAAAAATCTCAGGATCAGGAAAATTATGCTTCTTTTGAATACCTATGAACCTGTAAGTATGACCCTTAAAGCTAAGCATTTTTCTCTTTTTGCTTTGACTGCCAGGAAGCTCAGAAACAAATTTATTAATTACCTCAAGTGACTTTACGTGACCATATAGTAATTGTGTTGTTTGCTAATATGGGTTTTAATTCCTTGCTATAGTTAAGCTTCCCCTGCAGTCTGCAGTTATTTATTTCAGCCTTCAGTATTCACCCTGTTTTGGTGAACCACAGCAATGATGGAAGGGGTATAAGTAAATGTAAGTTCATTAAAACTATCAAAAGAAACTCATAAGCTCCAGTTGGATGTCAAAGGAGGCTTTTTGACAGTTTGGAGATGAATTTTTAAAAAAGTTTGGAAATCCCAGATCATATCTAGACGCTCTTAACTGAGACTCTGTTCTTTTTCTGACATTCTGTGTCATTTTTAGGGCAAATAATTTATATCATGTTCAGTACTTTTGGGGGATATAAAAAACTTAGGGCATCTGGCTGGGCGCAGTGGCTCATGCCTGTAATCCCAGCACTTTGGGAGGCTGAGGGGGAGGATCACTTGAGGTCAGGAGTTCGACACCAGCCTGGTCAACATGGCAAAACTCTGTCTCTATTAAAAATACAAAAATATTAGCTGGGCATGGTGGCGTGGCCTGTGGTCCCAGCTGCTCAGGAGGCTGAGGCAGGAAAATCACTTGAACCTGGGAGGCTGAGGTTGCAGTGAGCCAAGATCACACCACTGCACTCCAGCTTGGGCCACAGAATGAGACTCCATCTGAAAAAACAAAAACAAAAACAAAAACAAAAACAACAAACCTAAGGCATCTCTAAATGTATATTTTAATTTCTGTTTAGTAATTGCCTATTTAAGTAGCAGCTTCCATCCATAAAATACCTCTATTCCTTCTAGAAAATAATGATGGCAAACACTATATTATTGTTACATTTATGTTTTTACTTATTCAACAAATGTATCTCAAGCACCTACTGTGAGAGGCATGGCTCAAGACTCTGGGAAGATGTCTAATAGCTTTGCAGGAGTCTGGGTCCCTTTGGCCCTGCAGGCTAGTGACCCTTCAGGCTAAGGCTATGTCTTACTCACCTTTGTATTTCCGGCACCAAGCAGTTTTGGGCACCTCAGAGGCCTTCAATAAATGTTATCTTATAACTCTTGCCTTCTTTTCTAAAATTTTTATTTTTAATTGACAAATAATAATTATAGGCTAGGTACAGTGGCCATGCCTGTAATCCCAAGTGCTTTGAGAGGCTGAGGCAGGTGGATCACTTGAGCCCAGGAGTTTGTGACCAGCCTGGGCTACATGGTAAAACCCTGTCTCTACTAAAAATACAAAAATTATCTGGGCATGGTAGCACTGGC